ATGTCAGTTTGCATTTGTTGTGGAACCACGAGAAAATAATTATCATTCTCAAGTTTATATAAAACATTATTTTTTACCACAAAATCATCAATTGTTTCATTTTCCAAAAGTTGCTTAATACAGTGAATATATTCATCATTTATTTGGTTAGTAACAATTTTAGAGGTTAGTTCGTCACAAGTAATATGCATAATAGGATATCTACTTAAACAATCAACATGTTTCATTTGTTTACCTGGGCGATGTACAATGTCATAATCAAAGTCTTCCAAAAATAATGCCCACCTAGCAATTTTAGGAGTTAATTGTTGTTTATTCATAGTCTTTTGGAAAGCTGAACAGTCTGTTACTAGTTTAAATTTATTTCCCACCAAATAATTTCGAAATTTTTTCAAAGCCTCAATTATAGCCAACACTTCAAGTTCATAACTTGAATAATTCTCCTCTTGAGGAGTCGTTTTTTTACTCATATAGTGTATTGGGTGTAATTTGTTATCATCAGATTGCTGAAAAAGAATAGCACCATACCCAAATTTACTTGCATCGGTATGCAACTCAAGCTTTGCTCCTTGTTTAAAAATGTGTAGTACTGGATTTTCAGAAAGTTTTTGTTTTAAAGTTTGAAGCGCTGTTTGTTGTTCTGGGCCAAAATAACATACACTGTTATCCCGAAGTAAATCACTTAATGGTTTAGCAATTAAAGCATAGTTAAGAATAAACTTCCTAAAATATCCGGTTAAACCAAGAAAACTCTGCACCTGTTTAGTAGACTTAGATACAGGAAAATTTTGAACAGCTAATGTTTTTTCGGAAGATGGTTTAATGGTACCGTTCTCAATAATATAACCCAAAAAGTTAATTTTAGACATCAAAAATTGGCATTTTTTTAAGTTAAGTTCTAGTCCATATTCGGATGCAGTTTGTAATACTCGTGCTAATCTGTTCAGTGCCTCTATTTCACTTTCTGAGGGTATGAAAATATCGTCCATGAAAATGACAACAACACCTTCTCTAAGAAGATCACGAAACACATAATTGATGTACCTCTGGAATGTACTAGGGCTATTACACAACCCAAATGGCACTTTATTAAACTCATACTGCCCATCAGGTGTTACAAATGAGGTGTATTTTTTACTATCCTCGTCTACGTCTATATGGAAAAAATTGTTACGCAAATGAAGTTTATTATATACTTTGCCACCCTGCAACTTGTCTAACACATCATCAATTTGAGGTAAGGGGTATTTATCTTTAATTGTTTTTGAATTTAATTTCCGATAATCAATGCATAATCTTAGACTATTATCTTTCTTTTTGCAAAGAACTATTGGGGAGCAATAATCAGAGCAACTCTCTCTAATTATGTCTGTTTTTAACCATTCTGATATCTGATCATTTACCTTTTGTTTCTCAGAAAAAGATAAACGTCTAGCTCTTTGACATACTGGGATTTCATCTTTTAAAATAATTTTCATTGTTAACTTAGTGTCTTTAATTTTGTTTGGTTGGTAATTATTAATCAACGCTGACAGTTCATTCCTAATACAAGGATCATTAACATGTGATAAATCAAGTTCATCATTACTATACACCTTGTTGATATTAAATAAAAAACATTCACAGGAGCAAGAGTCATTAATGTTGAAACAAGAACATTAATAAAAATCTTCACTCTTAGAATTTACGATTTGAGTATTTTCACTTGAAGAAAGCTGACCTAGATTTATTAATTGATTATAGAGCGTAGGCGTAATTATACAGTCACAAGTTAAATGTTCTGAAATAGCGGCGTTGACCTTCAATCCTGACTCATTGGGAATTAAAGACATATGGATCTCTACAAGTTTCGCTTTTCGCCTATTTCCAAAACACGATGTTAATATTATATTAGACAACGACGGCTCACTTATTTTTATTTTATTTGAATTAATCACTGATATTTCAGCCCCAGAATCAATTATGGCTTTCACTGGGATATTCTTATTCAAATAAATCTGAGCGTACTTCAACTCGTGCTTAAAATTATTCTCTCCAGATGGTTTGCAGGAATTAACACTAAAGCTTTCATTTTTTAAGTTATCACTGGGAGGGGTATTTTTTCTTTCTGATTTATCGCTTCTGGATTCGTATGTTTTTTTCGATCTCTTTTCGCAATCACGTGCAAAATGGCTGACTTCTCCGCAGATGTAGCATTGTTTCTCTGCTCTATTTTGTTTATTTATTGGTTGAGAAAAACGATCCGGCTGGTTTTTTCTGAAATATTTTTTCTCGCTTCGAAAAAAAGTGTTCTGCCCATATTTATGGGTATTGGAAACTTGTCTGTGAGGCATATTTTTAGACGTAGTGTAAATGTCTAATTCTCGTGCTAACTCGACAGGATTAAACCAATTTTCTCCCTGACGGATTAAAATATGACTGGCCATCTCTTTATTTAATGTCTCAATTATTTTATCGGATATGATTAAGTTACATAATGATTTAAATGTTTCAACTTTACGTAATTTGCAATAGTACTCGAAATGTGAATTTAAGCGAGTAGCAAATTGAATATATGATTCTTCTTTAAATTTTGAGGCATTTTTAAAGTTATTCAAACATTCTTGGGGAGTTTGTTGAAAATCGCGCAATATTAAAGCTTTTAATTTTTCATAGTTTTTTAAATCATCATCTTCAATGTATAACAAGATGTTGTTTGCTTTTTCACCTAGCATATTAATTAAGATTTCAGCTTTAAGTCCTTCATTTATGTTTTTCTTACTAAAAGCTCTTTCCAACGAAGAAAAAAATTGATTAAAGTTTTCAGGTTTCGATGGAACTGGAAGAGATAGAGTTTTAATGCTATGAATTAAATTCTCAATGTTTGTTTCAGGTGTATCATTTATTGTTTTGGGAGGGTCTATTTCAAATGCTTTGTTTTTAGCCTCTAATAAAAGCATTTCTTTCTCGAGTCTTTTTAATTTTAGTTTTTCTAACTCAACTTGAAATTCGCTTCGTTTAAGTTCCCTGTCTGCTGCCTGTATTCTTTCTTCTACGGCGTTAGTTAACAAATTTCTGACACAAATTCAGAATCATTCTTAAATATTTCGGAACATTCAATTTTTTCTTTTAATTTAACGATATTATCGCTGCTGTCTGCGATGCCTCCTATTTCCTCTAATACTTTTACTAGGTCTTCTTTCTTTGAATTTTTATACATTTTTAAAATTGAAAATTTCCTACCTTGATTGAAGAGACTCTCAGTGTCCAATGGTAATCCAATGTTTCGTTGATTCAAACCAGATTCGGGATTCGTTGATTCAAACCAGATTCGTATCCCTTTTCGTATCCAAGGATTTCACACTGCACTTCCACGGAAAAGTTGACTGCACTTCTTCGCACAAAATAATCCAATAATTTCAGGATGATTCGAAAGTTTCATGAAAGTTTCTGAATCAATTCTGTCCTTCGCGACAGAAGTTTCTGGATCAATTTTGTCCTTCGCGACAGATCCGGTTATTGCTGATTAAGGAGAGTTCAGAGGTCTCTGCTGCTGCTTTTCTCCAGTTGCTGATTTTTTGCTGCACTTCTACTAATCACTATGACTCCAGAAAATTCGTGAATTCCAACTGCTTTTGCTGCAATTTGATAAATCGCTCCTCCACGAGCGTAGAATTTCAGTGAATGTCCCCTTCTCGGGATTTCTAAAGTTGCTTGGCTGAAAAATATCCCCTTCTCGGGATTTCGAAGTTGTTGGTTAAAATCCCCTTCGCGGGATTTTAAAGTTTAGAAATAGTTACAGCTCGTCGTTCAATTCCCGGACGTAAGCCCCCATTATTTGTGGGAGATAGTGCAGCATAGGAGTAAATGACGACGATAGTTTAACAATTTAATAGAAATAAAAGGATGGAAAGATATAACAGTAAACGTTATTGACATGACTCGTGAGAGCTGCCTCCGGAATGCATGTGACTAAGAATTAGATTGTTCTATGGTATAAAGTAAGAGTTAATTATAAATTCGGGAGTTTCCCTTCGGGACTTCCCCTTCTGGTCTGGCTGGCGCCTCTCAATGTCAAGAGGATGATGCAACTTCCTTTAATATTACAAGATGGTAGATGACGCAGAAAAAGTAATCTCTAAAAGAAAAAGTAATCTCTCCTAATAAACTACAGAATTTATGTCATTATTGATAACAATAGTTTGGTAGATATTTGGTAATTGAAAACTAGTACTTGTACTAGCTCACTTTTTCATGTTTGATCACAAAACTGCTAGTTTCACTACATGTTATTTTTTCGCAATGTACCCACGTTAATTATTTACTAAGCAGATTGTTATTACTTAATAGGATATTGTAGCAGAATTAAATTTAATCCGATTTTAAGTTTATATGGCAATTTGTTTCAAGGTTATGAGCATTTTTATGCAGCTGTTTATGGTTCACTACTTCAAAAATTAGCAACTTTCGGAAATCTTATATTTTTTTAGAAATAAGTCAGTATAGTTTCTTATGCAATTTTAATGCTGCATTGAATAAAATCAATTGCAAATAACAACTGCATAATTGTTGAAAGTAATATGCATTTTTTTTTTTAATTTCATCGTATGGGATGTGTTTTTATATTTAAACAAATGTTTGTAACAACTAACTATTAGTTTTATTCTGCTCGGTATTAAAAGTTATATAGGAGATATTGTACTCAACTTATTTTAAAAGTATTATTTCAAATAATTCTCTCTTAGACCTTTTCCTCACATAAAATTACTCACAACTTCCTTGTCCTCCTGCTCCTTATCAGCTTGGAATTTATTCTATTCGATTGAGTGTAAAAAAAGAATAATCTTATGTGATTGACAATAACGGAAGTCCTTTTCAGAATCAGCGTCTAAAATTTATAAAAAAGCTATTAGTTTCATGAAGTCTGACAAAAAGTTTAAAAATATAGGCTAAGTTTATTGAGTTTAAAGATTTGTAAGAAAAGAAGAAATAAAATATAATTATCCAACTTACAAGTACCATAATGATACCAGATGTATCGAAAATAAAAAGTGTAAAATTGCATAATAAGATTGGAATTATATATTTGAATTTCTGTAAATGTTGTTAATGGTAATACTGTCTTCAGTGCACTTTATTTTGTGGCCTGTCATGCTTTTTAGCCACGAGGATTGAATAGAAATGGCAGAAGAGTAATACTATTTATCTGAAAAATAAAATTAATTTTATACAGTTAATTTAAATAATAAATAAAACAATTCGCAATCGCAACGAACTATAGGGGGCGTTGTTGTATGAGACTAATACCTGCGATTTCTATATGAACAGTCATTCAGTTACTCTAGAGACGTCGTTAATGTAGCACGTAGCATTGCAACGTTCCTTCTTTGTGCAGTGGCGTAGCGAGGGGTGGGCAAGGGGGGGGGCATCATGCCCCGGGCGCTACTCACAAAGGGGCGCCAAATGGTCCGCAAAACAAAAAATTGCTGGATAATTTTTTTTATCATAATTGACTTCTGAAAAATATATTTTAAATTAGTGCC